TATTCCGAACTTATCGAAATAACGACCCGTCGTGATTCGAGCAGGGTCGAATCTTTCTTACTTTGATGGCGAAGGCCCTTGGCCTTAAGGGTGTTATTTCGAACTTATCGAAATAACGACCCGTCGTGATTCGAGCAAGGTCGAATCTTTCTTTTACTTCGATGGCGAAGGCCCTTGGCCTTAAGGGTGTTATTTCGAACTTATTGAAATAACGACTCGTCGTGATTCGAGCAGGGCCGAATCTTTCTTTTACTTTGATGGCGAAGGCCTTTGGCCTTAAGGGTGTTATTTCGAACTCAACGAAATAACGACCTGTCGTGATTCGAGCAAGGTCGAATCTTTCTTTTACTATGATGGCGAAGGCCCTTGGCCTTAAGGGTGTTATTTCGAACTTATCAAAATAACGACCCATCGTGATTCGAGCAGGGTCGAATCTTTCTTTTACTTTGATGGCGAAGGCCCTTGGCCTTAAGGGTGTTATTTCGAACTTATCGAAATAACGACCCGTCGTGATTCGAGCAAGGTCGAATCTTTCTTTTTGTTGGCCCAAGTTCAGGTGAAGTTTTGAAGAATGACAAATGAACTCAGTCATGGACCAGGTCCATCATGTGAGGCACAGTATCTATCAACCTAGACATGTGAGATACACGTGAAGGAGATAAGTCTTAGTGATCAAGCAGCAATATCTCCTGAACTAATCGAAAAGGTTGCATATTGGATGAGGAGAGAAAGTCTTCTCATGGGAAGAGGACACAATCCGGATAAAGGATAGGGTTGGAGTTTGTATTGTTCAAGGACTCAACTTCGATGGAAGATCAGCAATTGAGTCTCAATCAAATTCTGATTACTAACTCAATAAATAACAGTGATTGTTCTCTTTTACAGGTATTGCACAAACGCAGAAGTTAAACTAAATTGAGAGCAAAAGAGCGAGGCAATTTCGGAAGCAATTTATGTGAGATTCAAGTGTGCATTCCTGAAGCTACTTGGACAAGATAGAAGAACCAATTCCATTGTGTCTTTCTTTTATTTTAGTTCAATTGTAGTAGGTGTTTTAAAGTTGTACCTTTCCAGCTTTCATAGAAGCAATTGTATTAGGTACTTTGAGCATTCAAGTTAGAGTTAACTTGAAGGTGTCGCAACAGTTGAGGCTGTGTGCTACACTGGGATTAGAGTTTAATCCTTAGGTTTACAAGAGTTTTGTAAATGCTGTTTTGGCTTAGTGAGTTTAGTGGAAGTTTGGGAAAATCCTACTGAGTAGTAGGTCGTGGTTTTTTCACCCTTTGAGCCAGGTGTTTTCCACGTAAAAATCTCTGTGTTCTTTATTTTATGTACTCTTAATTCCGCAAATAGTAGTAGTAAGTACATCTACAAGAACCAGGTTCTTCTAGAGCGAAAATTGGGTACCATACAAATCACCCCTCCTCTTGTGTGGTATTGACGTTAAGAACATCAATTGGTATCAGAGCAGGTTATCCTTGAAGAGGCTAACACCTTATGAGAAGATCAACATGAGTGCACCACCTGGAAACTGGGAAGGGCAATCCACTGCTAGGCCTCCACTTTTCAATGGCCAGGACTATTTTTGGTGGAAGAACAGGATGAGAGATCACATCATAGGGGAAGACTATAAACTTTGGGACATAGTCACTGATGGTCCCCTAGCAACCACAAAGAAGAATGTTGAAGGAGTTGATGTGCCAAAGACAAGGGGTGACTGCACTGCTGAAGACCTGAGGAAGTGGGAGAAAAATGCTAAAGCCAAGAAATGGCTTGTGTGTGGACTAGGTCCTCATGAGTACAGCAGAATTCAAAGCTGTACCACTGCTAAGGAAATCTGGGACACCTTGCAAGTGGCTCATGAAGGAACACCTCAAGTAAAACGGTCAAGAGGAACACTGCTGTATTCTCAATATGAGAACTTTACTATGAAGGAAGGAGAAACAATTCAAGAAATGTATACTAGGTTCACTACACTAACAAATGAACTTAAATCTCTTGGAAGGATTATTCTTGAAGAAGACAAGGTTTAGAAAATTCTGACAAGGGTTCTGCCAGTCACATGGGAAAGCAAAATAACTGCCATTCAGGAATCCAAGAATATTGCTACTCTCGGACTGGATGAACTGATTGGAAATCTTATTGCTTATGAAATGAGAAGGCAAACCATGAAGATGGATACACCCAAGAAGGAGAGAATCTTAGCTCTCAGAATTGCTGAAGGTTCAGATATGGAAGATGATGAGATGGCTATGATCACTAGAGATTTCAAAAAGTACCTGATGAGAGGAAAGGGTTCTTCAAGAGGTACAACCTTCAACAAGACAAGAGCTCCTGAGAAACAGACCAACGAGGGTTGCTACAAGTGCGGTAAGACTGATCACATGATCAAGAACTGCCCTCAATGGGAAATTGAGTGGAAGAAAGAAAGGGCTGAACGAAGGAACAAGAAGAAGGAACAGGTTCAACCAAAAAGGAACAAAGGTTCAACCAAGGCTATGGTTGCTGCTTGGGGAGAAACCTCAGATGAAGACTCAGAAGATGAAGCTGAAGAAGAGCAAGCACTGATGGCCATCGGAGAATCAGATGATGAACAAGAGGTAAGTATTCTTCATCTCAAAGACAATATTAAATTTTTGTCTAAAGAAAGGTTGGCTGAGCTATTACTAGACTTCATTGATGAGTTTGAGATAATTAACAATAAGAAGGAAGTTCTGTCTAGGGAATGTGTGATCCTAAAAGCAAAATGCAAAAGTCTAGAATCTAGGGATAATGAGAGTGATAACACAAATGCTGAGTTGAAGAACCAGGTTCTTGAACTTGATAACAGTGTCCTAGAACTTAGGTCTGAAAACTTAAAATTGAAACTAGGAACTGGAAAGAAGAAAGCTGATCACACATATCTCACTCTAGAGGAAAACCTAGAAAAAATGAAGGATGAACTGTATAAAAAGGATGAACTAATCAAAGTCCTAAAAGAAGATCTAGGAAAAGTGAAACATGAATTAGACAGAACTTGCAAATGGAACAAGGCCTCTGATGCACTCTCTTGGTTGAAGAGCATCACAGTAGCAACAAAAGAGCACTTGGCTATGGGACTCAATCACCAATGTGGGACCCTAAAACCAAGTACCTCACACTTCCTGAGAATAAAATATGCACACACTGTGGCAAGACTGGCCATTACAAAAATGAATGTAATGCAAAAGTAAAGGCCAGTCAAAAGAACAAAGCCTTTGTTCAAGAGAAAAGTAAGCTGCCTGGATGTGCAAGAAGGAACTTGATTCATCCTTTTGCCTATAGAAAAGGACCCAAATTAGTTTGGGTTCCTAAGACTAACCCCTGATTTCTTTTGTAGGTCCAAGTGAAAGGATGCAGCCAAATATGGTATATGGATAGTGGTTGCTCAAAACATATGACTGGGAACAAGGACCAGTTCCTTTCACTTGAGAACCTAAAAGGAGGTAATGTCTCCTTTGGTAATGGAAAGAAAGGTGAGATCATTGGGGTTGGAAAGGTAGGAAAGACAGATTCTCATTCCATAGAGAATGTCTACCTGATAGATGGCTTGAAATATAGCCTAATAAGTGTGTCACAATTGTGTGACAGAGGTAACCTTGTGGCTTTTACCTCCACCAAATACTTTGTGATTAACCTTACCACTGACAAGATTGTTTTGCAGGGAAAAAGAGTTAACAATATTTACATTGTAGATTTGTCTACTCTCTCAGAAAGTGAACTCACTTGTTTAAGTGTGTTGGTCAATGATCCCCTCCTGTGGCACAAAAGACTTGGTCATGCAAGTCTAAATCAGCTTAACAAATTAGTCTCTAAAGACTTGGTGATAGGGTTACCTAATATCAAGTTCAAGGAAGACAAAGTTTGTGAGGCATGTGCAAGGGGGAAGCAGGTAAGATCATCCTTCAAAAGCAAGAAAATGGTAAGTACAACAAGTCGTTGGAACTGGTCCATATGGATCTATGTGGTCCAATGAGAACCATGAGCAGAGGTGGAAAGAAATATGTAATGGTGCTTGTTGATGATTATTCTAGATTTACCTGGGTTCTATTTCTAACCTCCAAAGATGAAGCATTTGACATGTTCACTGCATTTGTTAGAAAAACTCAGAAACAATTAGGAAATAAACTTGCATCCATTAGGTCTGATCATGGAACTGAATTTGAAAATTCCAAGTTTGCTAAATTCTGTGATGAAAATGGTATGGATCATAATTTCTCTGCCCCTAGAACCCCTCAACAAAATGGAGTAGTTGAAAGGAAGAATAGAACTCTTGAGGACATGGCTAGAACCATGCTTCTTTCTAGTAAATTGCCTCACAGCTTCTGGG